TTCCAAATTGTTCAGAAATTGTATCATGCAGTAAAATTGTTAAAATGATTCTAAGATAGATAAAATTGATTCAAATTATACCGACTCGTAATTCTACAGATTTTTCTAGTATATGAGTCATCTTACTGTATTCTAATTTTTACTCTACTTGCTCGTTAGTAGAATCCTTTTATTCGTTTTTTTCATTCAGTTTGCTAGACTGTAGAAGTCTACTTTTTATGTTCTAGCTTGCTATTAATTTTAATCTATTAAGTTTAGACGTAGATTAATTCTTCGTTGTCTCTTAAAATTCACTTTCAGTTTACATGTCAGTAGAGTTTTTTTATTTACAAATGTTAATGATCTTTATCATTAGAATATCATTAGATCTTTAGTATTAGAATGCTTCTTAAGAACGTGAATGTGATCCACATTTTCCTGATTTCCTGATGATGTCAGAGTATATATATATATATATATATATATACATATATATTGATGTATAAATTATGTATGAGTAATATAGAGGTGAATTCCCTTGTCGATGGTCAAGTTCCACGTGCACTGATTTAGTAAACATTATGACGTCAGATTTTTTTTTAATTGGGACACGTGCAAATACATATATACATATATAATAAAATCAGAATTAATCCTAAATCAAATCATCTTTTATATTTTATACATAAGAATTGATAATATTAAGTTTGCTTTTTTTTTAATTCATGTAAATATTAGGTTGTCAAATATCTCCCTTCCGCCTTTTTGTATTATAAACCAATAGCAAAAAAGCGGAAGGGAGATATTTGACAACCTAATATAAAGTTTAAGTTATGATACTTCAATGATGAAACACACTCTGTGTCGAAACGTATAGTCCACAATTTTGTAAATATCATTTTTCTTGTATTGCTGCTAATTTGATACTAATATTGATAATGTTATTAATAATCTATTCATTATGACTGAAGATGATATACGTTTAACAAAACATGAAGACATATAAATGTGGAATCAACCTTTTGTTTTTTGAATAATTTAGAATATAGAAAGAGGGCTCTACTAACGAGCTAATTGTTACTTAAGTGCGAATTAAAAGAGTTTAATTACAAAAAATGCAATTCTACTGACGACTAAGACGAATAAGAAAGAATGATCACTCTTTTCAAACAAACTGAAACTTCAGAGACAAAAGAACTCTACTGACGAGCAAACTAAATCTCAAGTTAAATGCGAGAGAAGAGACTATATATGTATATGTATAAATACAATATATTTAAATTTATTTAAATTTATCGAACGTGAGAATATTCTCACCAGACCCGGAAGACTGGACGCACGTCCGTGTGACCTTTGCACGAATTCGCAAATCAGGAAATACAATTTTTTTCTTCTCAGATGCGGATGTGTTCCGGAAAAAATGCATAAGTCGTTACTAAGAGAAAAATTTGATTTTATAAGAAATTTTCATCAGGAGGCCAATTTTTCTCAAAAAATTTTGACAAAAGTTTAAAAAAACTGGTTATTTATTATTTTTTAAATAATAAACTAATCAGGACATTATTTTACATTGACTCTAATGAAAATTAGTACTGTAAATTAATTAAAAAAAATTAAAGTTTTATTAAAATTTTAAATCCTGAAACTTTATTCTCCTCTATCAAATTTTTAATGTTCCTTAGCTTAAATTATTTAAAATTTACTGAATATGAAATAAATCGATATTCATATTAAACTAAAAGTGACTTCGTACGGAACCTTTTTCCTTATTAACTTGACAGTAATCGCTTAAGTTATAGTAATCGCAAAAAAATCGAAAACGAAAATTTTTATATATCTTTACGTTTCAGAGGTTTCTGAATATTTTGGCATACCTTAGAAAAAATGGATGTATGTGTGTGTGTGTGTGTGTGCGTAGTATGTATGTGTGTGCGGATACAAATTTTCGTCGACGATTTCGGGAACACGGATAAAGCAATTTGATTAATTTAAAAAACATTCGATCCGTATTGATAAGGAGACGTGCTGATTAGTTTTTGGCAGAGGTAGGTCTAGCCGTTCCGAAGATATGGGGCAAAAAGTGCCAAAAACGGTACCTCAGTTTTTAATAGAACGGAGCATCCGATTTTGATAATTCAAAAAACATTTTACTTGTATTGACAAGATGAAGATTTGATCAAATTTTTATAAGGGCAGGTTTAGCGGTTTCGGAGATCTAACGAAAAAATAAAAAAAAAATGCCATTTGGCGGTCAAAAATGATCATTAGACATATGCACATCAAATTATCAGATATTTTATAGAGATTTTAACAATAAGATAGTTTCTCAAAAATCTTATTTTTTCGAAGTAATTTTTTTTCAAAAATGTTAATCGTTTTTAAAAAAATAATAATTTTTGGTACGGGAAGTTCCAGCAATTTGCCTTAAGGCACGATGCCCTAATTGCCTTAAGACAGAATTCCACTTACAGCTAGTTTTTTTCAAAAATCAAGTTTTCGGGGGCTTTTTAATTTTCGTCCGTTAGTCGTCATTCACGGTCGTTCATTGCTCACGAGAGAAGAAACAGGTTCGGCACGTCTTTTTTATTTATTTATTTATTTATTTATAACTCTCATCTGTTAATTATTGACGCCAAATAAATAAATAAATGTTACTTTTAATTTTATTTCTTTTTTTTAAAGCAGGAAATCGATTTAATTTATTTAATCGCACAAATTGACATTTATACGCGAGCGGAATTTTACCAGTTCCGCATGAGGCGGAAGCGAATCGATTTTTTGTACTTTTTATCCAAAAACTAGCTCAAAAATTTGATTTAAATACCTGGATGTAATTTTATGCCTATTGGCAAGTTGCTGTAATGAAAAAGCACAAATAGTATTTTGAGGTAAAATTTTAAATTTTTTTTAATGTATTGTTTTATGGCTTGAAATTTTGCTTGAATTTTTATTACATATGTAAAACACTATGAAGAACTTTTTGAACCCTAAACCTTTTTCTGGACTAATATATTTTAAACACTGTTCTTGGACCATGAATACCCTTTTTAGAACCTTATTTAAATAAATACTCTTTTTTTCCCTCCTAAAAAAATTTTTAGATCTGTAAAAAAAATTCGAGCCCTATCTAGAATTTTTGATCAAAGTTTTTGTATTGGGGCAAGCTCTTTATATTACCGTCTAAACTTTTAGGCGCCTGTCAAGATTTCTAGACCCCTGACAACATTTTTGGTACCATTGGCAACATTTTTGGAAACATCGACATCATTTTTGGTCCCTTGATAATTATCGGAAGTCCAAAAATGTTGTCAGGGGTCTAAAAATCTCCTCAAGGGTCCAAAAATGAAGTAAGGGGTCAAAAAATGTTGTCAGGGGTACAAAAAATGTTGTCAAAAAATATCAATATTTTTGAAACCCTGGCAACATTTTTGGATCGTTAACTACATATTTAGACTCCTAAAAATATTTTTGAACCTTCTGACAACATTTTTGGATCACTGAAAACATTTTTGGATCACTGAAAACATTTTTGAACCCCTGACAACATTTTTGAACCCCTGACAACATTTTTGGACCCCTGACAACATTTTTCGACCCCTGACAATATTTTTAGACCCCTGAAAACATTTTTGGACCCCTGGCAACATTTTTGGACCCCTGTCAACATTTGTGGACCTCTGACAACATTTTTAGACCCCTGAAAAGGTTTTACGATCTATGAAAACATTTCTGGGCCCCTGAAAACATTTTTAGACCCCTGAAAACATTTTTGAAACTCCTACAACATTTATGGAACCATGACAACATCTTTGGACCCCTGACTACATTTTTGAAACCCCTGACAACATTTTTGGACACCTGACAACATTTTTGGATCCCTGAAAACATTTTGGACCCCCTGATAACAATTTTCGGCCACTGACAACATTTTTGGATCCCTGAAAACATTTTTGGAACCCCTGACAACATTTTTGAACCCTTCACAACGTTTTCGGACCCCCTGATAACAATTTTTAACCCCTGACAACATTTTTGGAACTATTGGTAACATTTTTGGACTTCTGACAACATTTTCAGAGCCCTGACATGATCTTAAGTCTCTGATAACGTTTTTAGACACCTCAAAACAATTTTAGACCCCAAATAACATTTTTAGACCACTGACAAAATATCTAGATATCTGACAAAAATTTTAGACAACTAACAAAACTATTACACCTCTGAACATATTTTTTCAGATTTTTTCCCTGAGGAGATTTTTAAGACTCTACATTTTTAGATGCCTGACTAAATATTAGACTTCCACAAAATTTAGAGACCATTAATAAAATTTTTAGCTGTTTAATATTGCATTGAATGTATTTATTAAAAAAATAATAATTAATTCAATATTATTTTTTTATCAAAAAAGAATTTTATACCAAACGATTTACGTATGCAAACAAATTTGCGTCAATTCATTAATACATTTAAATAAATAAATATATATACATACATATATATATATATATATATATATATATATATATATATATATATGTATTTTATTTAAAAAAGAACCAAGTTCCCTTTCTATCGCAGACCTCAGAAATCGCGGGTCTCTACATATATAAAGCTAAACACACACTCAGAATGTTTTAATGTTTTTTCTGAATTTAATTTCAATATTACTGTATGTGAATCATAAAAGTAATAAAATAAAAAACTTGTATACATTATATAATAGTAATAAAGATAATTGAAGACAAAATTTAATTAAGATCAATTGCAACGAAATTTATAAAAACTTACTAATAAATAATTAATTTATCAATAATTTAAAATTGTTATAATTAATAAAATGTTTGATTAAATTTCAGTGTGTGTTACGTGCTACATATTTTTTTAATTCTATAAAACAATTGTGTTAAAATAAAAAATATGTGAGTTAAATATAATTCCACCAAGTTTTATTATTATAAAATTAACATTTTTGTAATTTTTTCCATGAACGTCTGCACCATCATATAGTCTTCTACAAAATGTCTTCAAAAACATTCCTGTTCGCATTTTGTGTCCTAATTTTGTGCACCCTAAGTATTTCCGTGGCCACCCCTGCTTATAGTGGTGAGTATGGAATTTTTTGGACATCATAAAACTACCAAAATTTTATAAATTTAATTTTTAAATCACAATTATTTATTAAGTTGGTCTCGATTATATGGGAATCTGCGTCCGAAATTGCGCCCAATGCAAAAGAATGTTTGGGAACTATTTTGATGGACCGGCTTGTGCAGATTCTTGTTTAAGATTTCGAGGGAAAATTGTGCCAGATTGTGAAGATTTAAGGTCTATTGAACCTTTTTTGACTAGCAATGGTGAAAAATTCGAATGATAATAATTGACAAGTGATAGACTTCCCAGAAATTTGCTGCTTGATGATGCTCTGCTTAAATGCTAAATCGGCAAGTTTTTTTTACAAAAATATTTTCTGGTATTACTTTATCTAGTCCACCAGCTTGTGCACACTTTTGTCTAGAATTTAGAAGCAAATTGCACCAGATTGTGAAGATTTGAGGTCTACAAACCTTTTCTGGACAGAAATGGTAAAAAATTCGAATAATTTTAAGCAATATGTGAAGATGGTGCTTCAAAATTGATTTGAATCAATTTCTTCGCTTAAGTGCTCTATTAAAGCCAATATCGTGCTGAAGTTATTATTAATTTTGCAAATCAAAAAACAAAGATATTGATTTTGTTTTGAGTGGGTAGATTTCCTGATGATAATTCAAATATCCTGAAAAAATCTTGTACCACTTTGAAGAACATCAGGGTTTGATGGTTGAAAGAGTTTGATAGTATTTGTGATGAATTTATAAAAAAATTAATATGATTGATTTTATAAACAAAAAGCATTGCTGCCCCAAAATCCATCTAGATTTCGTGAATTTAAGGAATTTCTGAAGATTTTGCGATTAAAAGCTCAAATAAGTTTTAGTGGTTGATAAGTTGACTTGGTATACATTTAATAACTATGTATGTCTACAGTGAAATATTTGACAAAAAAATTAAATATACTATTTGAAAGTTAAATATGAAAGCTAAATATTATTTCAAAGCTCCAAATAATTTTAAGCCCAGTTTTAACCACTTGAAATTAATATGCATAAATTAATCATAAATTCTGAATTTATTTTGCTAAAGTTGTTAGAGTAAGATTCATATATAATTTACTGCATGTCCTGAATAAAATCCATAAATTTTAGGAGTAAATCTGGAGAATTTCCAATAAAATTAGGACAAATTAGTAGTTTTTCTGATAAATTATAAAAACTTAACTTTTTTCATTTGGATAAAAATGAATTTAAATTTTTAGGTACAAAATATTGTTTTTGGCTATAAAATTAATATCATTTGTATAGTTGAATGATAACAAATGTTCATGTATTAATAATTATTATGTATACTGATTTTTAAAAGTATTTACGACCAGAACAAGACTGTTGATAGTATTAATGTTTGATTAAATTAATTTTTAGGTAAAAAAATATTTTAATTGTATAAATAGAAAAAGTGCTGATGTCACCAAAATTGTAAAAAATAATATTCTTTGTACATCATTAATTTAACAAGAATTATTTATATGTTTTGGTTTATGTCAGTATTACATTTTGTACTTTCATGTTTTTAACTTTTAAATTTGATCTTTTAGATTTTATTCTTAGATCTCCGCAATAGAAAAAAATAGTGTATTTCGCAATTCAATATTTTTAAACTCATAATTACCTAAAAAAAGTCCATTTATCATTATTTCAGAAGATCTAATGTATTTTTTCAATTGAGTCTCAAGAACAAATATACATTTAGTATTGTTTTTTTTTTTTTTAAATTATTCAATTCTTGTGAATGTTTTGAATATAAAAAATAAGCTGAATTTTACGCTTTTAGCATTTATTTAGTATTCTAATTAATTGAAATTTAATTTCAAAGACAAAAAAGTAACATTTTTGCTTTAATTAGTATAATTAAGTATAACAGTGCCTTTTTACAAAAAAAAAAATAGTACATATTTTAATTTTAGTTTTAGCTAAATTAGATACTGCAATGTGATATTTATTTTAATAAATATTTTTAGCTTTAAATATATAAATGCTAGCCTAATGAATAAAATAAATTGGAACATTAAATAAAATGTGTGTCATTTTCAATTTCAATCGAATTAAAGTCTTATGTAAGAGAAAGTGAATTTTAAAAAGTGTAAGTAATATATATATATATATATATATATATATATATATATATATATATTGTATATTCTGACACATATGAATATAAATTGAGCAACTCGATAATTTGTATTCAAAGAAGATGTTTTCTTTGAAACAAAACCGAACTGTGTCACAGAATTAATTTTAAATACAGGTTTTATTCAACTTCATATGAATTTATACATTTATATATATATATATATATATATATATATATATATAAATATATATATTATAAATTGATAAAACTTTACTAAAGTTGATATAACGTTTTTAAGTTTTGTCGAAAATCTCAAAAATTGTTCATAAAAGAAGTCAAAAATATTATTAGAAAAAATGATGTAGTTTCAAGTTTCTAATTATTAAAATTATAACAATTATTATAAAACATGTATCAAGTTTCACAGTTAATTATTCAATGAAACATCAATTAACTTCAACCTTAAAAAATCAACTAAATTATCACATTTTTTTTTTTTAAACCATAAAAATAATAAAATTATGCTCACTATCAAAATTGAATTTTAATCCTAAAATATTATTTAAATCAGGTAAATGAAATTACAACTGGGTTTTTATTTTTTAATATATTTTATTTATATGAAAGTATGAATTTAGTAAGAAAAGCTAATGAGAACTTTTTAAATTACAAAGTTGTCTCAAAGGATTTTCAAAATATTACATATATACGATTTTAAAAATAATGCATACAATTATATCTATCACACAAAAATAAAATAGATGAAATTTTGTTATTTTATTTTATTCTTTTCCTAACATTTTTATAATATATGCAAAATGGCAAAAAAGTCTCAAAGAAAAGATATTTATCTAGATATTAAAATAGTAGTTAGTTTTTTTTTTAATTTTGTGTCAAACGATTTAGAATGATTTCAAAACATAAAATTAGTCAATCGGTTTTTTTGGCAAAAAGATAAATTACTCCTTATTGAAGTTTAAAAAAAATACTGATATCAATTTGTCTATTTAATTACCCAAGTAGTGTAAGCTTCCCGTAGTTTTTAATAATACAGAACCCCAATTGGTGAAATTAATTTTAAGAAACCCACTAAAACCCACTAGTAAACCCATCCACATCTGATTCTCTAGTATATTAATTTATTCGGACTAATGGTCCGGAATCAGTCAAAACTTTCAACATCTGCTTCTTCTGTGAAGTGTCATTTATTATATTAAATAGCTATATACATATAATATATATATATATATATATATATATATATATATATATAAATTATGTATATATATATATATATATGTATGTATATATGTATACAAGAGTAAAGGCAGTTGGAAATACAATTGAAACAGATTTCGACCTTCGTAATAATTTTAGACGGTCTGATAAATAGACATAGCTGACCTATGATTAATGTACCTAGGAAATTGAGGTAACAGATTGATATATACCTACTAGTATATATATATATATATATATATATATATATATATATATAATAAGTATAGAAAGCTCTCGTGACTGGTCTTATACTAAAAATTCGGGAGTGAAGCAAGTTAAAAAAAATCTCATTAACTATAGTATTTAAGAAAAAACAATACAATAACTTAATTTCTTATAGCAGTAGAAAAATGCATTATTTTATTTCTGGAAATTTATTAAAATAAAATGGAAACACAAGCGAAGCATCAGATGATATTGAATTAAGCAAAATAGTGAAAATATTGAGTAAAAAATGCAAAAATTATATATTTTAACTTTCATAAAATGGTTTTGTTCCTTTAGTAATAATGATAATTATAAATTGCCACCGAGTTGAAAAACGCTGTTTTAAGCCATAGTATTCGGTCAAAAATTTAATTTAAATCAAAATATTAAACAGATCAATAAAATTTAGACCAAATTATGTATAGTTTGAACCATGCATAGTTTGAATAGTAATTTTTGAACTACAATATCATTCCAACCACTATATTTTTTGGAGAGCACTGTACTGTTTCAATTAGATCGCATTATTTATTTCATCATAAAATATTTTGAAATTATTTTTTTCATTTTGGAAAAAAAATTCGGGCTACTGGTCAGTAGAGTCGCTCTAATAACTTTGTCCTCTTATTAGTACTTTCTCCTCTTAGTTGAAATAAGTATATTTGTACCTATTATTAAGTAAAATTATTACATAATTTACTCTTTAGTAGAGCTTTTTATACTCTAAAAAAAATCAGATTGTTTGTTAGTAGAGTTTATAACTTCTTCCACTGTAGTTTGTTCATAGTGTAGAGTCCTTGTTTAAGACAAATTTATTTTTATCACGCAAGTAGAGTTTGATTAATTTTTAGTTTGTTTATCACTAAAGTTTTTTCCTCTCACCCAATAGTATTTTCAAGTTGCTCTTTAGTAGTTCTTGTTCCCCTTATAAGAATTTTTAATTTGATCCACAGCAGAGTTCATTTTTTTTTTAACAAACCTCGGAAATGCGCCAGTAGAGTTTTGTCATATATAAGCAAATTTTCAGTTTGGTCGTCAGTAGGGTATTTTTTCTTTTTGTCGTGCTTTTACGTTATAAAATAAATTTGAGGTATGATCTTCAGTAGAGCTTTTTCCACGTTACCAATAATATTTTAAATTTGCTAGTCAGAGTTTTTTTTGCACGTTTCTAAAACTTTAATAAAATGTTTGTCAGTAGAGTTCTTTTTTAAGAGAATCATCAGATAATCTGGTTCTTTTTTTTGTATTGAAGTAGATGTGCAAATAGGATCTCAGCACAGTGACTCCTTTCTCTAACTCAAATAGATTTTTATTTGCTGGTTAGTAGAGTCTCATTGTCGATGTTTATATTAATTTACCTCTCCTAGAGCCATTTGGCTATAAAATTAATATTTAACTAATAGCTGATTTGTGTCTAAGATAGATTTTCCACATTTGTGTTAAATATTATTTGCCATGAAGGGTCAACAAATGTAAAAAAATCATCAATAATAGTTGTTATTGTTTCATAAACTTTGAAACATCGTCACCACCAACCACGTATTCGTTTTGCTCATCAATGTGTAGTCATTTTGTTTATTTATGATTTTGTCAACATATAGTTATATAAATAATACCCCCATAAACCGTCGCTAAAATTTTTGCTTTATCAACAATTGT